AAGAGTGTATGTATGTGTATGTATGTATTTTAGGAGAATGGAGACCATAAATTAGTGAATTACTGGTGAGATTCTTAGAAATGATACTGAAAATGGCTTTTCATGAGTGATTACTATGTACCAGATACAATGCAAAGTACTTTATATTTTCCTATTATGTTCTTACAAAAACTCATGGATTAAATACTATTATTATCATTTTTATTTTACTGTTAAGAATACTAGATTTAGGGGGAACCAGCAGTTAGCGTAATGGCTATGTCGCTGGACTCCCACGTAGTCGACCGCGGTTCGTGTCCCGGACCCGGTGGCTTAAAACTCACGCCGGGCGCGTGTGCGTGCGTGCCCAAGATCCCGAGAGGAGAATGGAGGAGAAGGGATTGCGGCGTGACCATCCCCCCTGGGGGGTGATTTCTCGCTTTCTGTCTCTATGTCTCTCTCTGTCTGTCTGGCGAGCGCACGCGCCCAAAGAGAAAAACTCCAAAAAAAAAAAAAAAAAAAAAAAAAGTAAGAATACTAGATTTAGGGACCAGCAGATGGTGTAATGACTGTGTTGCCAGATTCCTACAATTGACCACGGTTCAGATCCCAGACCCAGCGGCCTCAAACTCACCCATGCCACGTGTGCATGCATACCCAAAATTCCAAGAGGAGAATGGAGGAGAAGGAATTGTGGAGTGGCCATCCCCCCCGGGGCAAGGGGTGGATGATTTCTCTCTTTCTGTCTGTCTCTCTGGAGAGTGCACATACCCTATAGGAAAAATCTCTATCTAGAAGGAAGGAAGGAAGGAAGGAAGGAAGGAAGGAAGGAAGGAAGGAAGGAAGGAAGGAATACTAGATTTAGAGAAGCTGAGAAACATCCAAGATCACACAGCTGATAGCAGTGGGCTTACAGCGTAGCCTTTTTTATGTTTAACCACTGTACATTAGTAGTAAAGGAGAGAAGTGAAAGAGATGAGATGATAATGCCCAAGTTTCTGGCTAGTAGACTAGATTTCTAGTGAATAATAGAACCATTTGTTAAGATAGTAAATAGCAAAGGAAGAATAACAGGGATTGTAGGGATTAAAGTTAACTTTTACTTTGAACATATAGTAGTACTGCTTTATGTGCAAGGGATACCTTCCAGGAATTTCACTGGATGACCAGAAACACCGATAGTACTGAACTCTATTTGCACTGTTTTTTTCAATCTCATAACTGAGATGGCTACTAAGTGGCTAATGGCCAGACACGTATATATATAGCATGGATGCTAGATAAAGGGATGATTCATGGCTAGAGTTTTCATCATGCTATTCAGAATGGTGTATAATTTAAAACTTATTTCTGGAATTTTCTTTATTTTTTTCATCAAAAATTTCAAAGAGAAATAGACCAAGACAGGCATCCCTAACAAGTTCTTCGCCCTATGATCCACCCCAGCCTCAGCCAGCTAATTACACTCCTGTGCACATGTTGTACACAAGTGCCAGACCTTGAACTCAGAACCTTCTTAAGTGGGCCCAGCATCACACAGCATTGCATTATACCGCTACACCACAAGCTGGCCCCTAAAACTTTACATTTAATGTTTTGGACCAGTTGAACATGGATAGATGAAACTGCAGAAAGTAAAACTGTAAATAAGAGGGGACTATGGCATTGACTTTAAATTGTGTGGGACTTTCAGGTTTAGAAGTCCAGCAGCAATTTAATTTAAGAACTTTGAGTAGGGATGCAGATTTAGAAATAACTAGCATATACCTGTCGGTTAAAGCCATAGATTACAATGATACTACTCCAAGAGTGTATGTAAATTGAAAAGGGGGTAAAAAATGCAACCCTGCTGAATGTTCGTAGTTGAGATGAAGGCAGAGATTATTATTTCCTCTCTCCTTTATAGGCTAATCTTTTTAAGTCTAGCTTTGAAGAACTAAGAGAAAATAGTGTTGTAGAAACCATAGGAGGAAAAGGTGTTTCAAGAATGCTAAGATAATATCAGTTGTTATTAAGACTATTAACAAGGGGCTGGCAGGTGGTGTGGTGGTTAAAGCAGCTGGGTTGACAGTGGTTCAAGTCCTGGACCTGGCAGCTTGCCTTTTCACTTTCCTTCTTTCTCTCTCTAGTCAACCTCAAAAAAAAAAAAGGAAAAAAGAAAAGAAAAATAAATAAATAATAACAGCAAATAAAATGAAATTAAATAATTCTTTAAAAAAAAAAAAAAACTCAAATGAAGGCCAAGCAGATGGCGTGGCGGTTAAGGTGCTGAACTCTCACATGGTTGACTGTGGTTTAAGTCCCAGACCTAGATATGAAACTCATATCAGAGGTGTGTACGTGTATGCCCAAAATTTCTAAAGGAGAATGGAGGAGAAGAGATCGTAAAGTGGCCATCTCCCACTGGGGACAGGGGAGGAGGGAGCATGATTTCTCACTCAGTCTCTCCAGTGAGTGCATGTACCCTATACCAAAAATCTCTCATAGAAGTCTCAAATTAATTAAAGATTGAAATAACTATTGATTTTGGCAGTTAAGTCATTTTACTTCATTGAGAGCTGTTAGCAAGGGCTAGTAGATGAGAAAGCAGCTCAGGAAGTAGGTTTAAGGATCAGTTTTCAGATGTTCAGCTGTAAAGGAATGACAAAAGAGTTGTAGCTTGATGCAAGTTGTTAAGGGTCGATTGTTTTTCATGTAAGAGACTTTAGCACATTTGTCATTGGAGAGGACAAATCTAGTGAAGATAGTTGAAGATCACAAAAGAGGGAATAGTTGTAAAATTCCTTGAATTTGGAAATGGTATCCCTGGTAGGTTATGAGGAGCTAAAGATAGACATACATGGCTAGCTCTGTAGCTCTTTACAGGCTGTTATGACACTGGTAAATTACTTAAGCCTAAGTATACCTTCTACAGTGGTTTCAAATGAATAACACTGATACATAATGAGAATTCAGAAATTATGGCTAATATTACTCTGTAAATATTTGTAGATAATGAGAGCAAGTTCTTTATCATGGTAAAGGGAAAGGACTGAGTAAGAAAAAACACAGGAGAGTGGGGAACAGTTTGAAATAGCTTAATTTTGGAATTCAAGAAAATCCTGTTCAACCTAGAGCAGGTAGAAAGGATTATCAAGGAGCTTTAAGAACACATTTGAGATTGAAAATGAAAGATTATGTTGTGGGGGCCGACAGGTGGCATGGTGGTTAAGAGCGCTGGACTCCCACATGACCGACTGTTAGAATCCCAGACCTGGCGGCTTGCTTTCTCACTTTCTCTCTCTGTCTCACACTCTGTCTCTCTCTGGTCAAATTTAAATACATACATACATACATAAAGTTAAGTAAAATAATTCTAAAAAAAAAAAAGAAAGATTATGTTGGTATTAGTAGGTTTGCAAGAGTGAAGAAAGATGATTTTTTTAATCAGCTCACAGTTAAGGAAAATTTCAGAGCTGATACAGCAAAAAGAAAAGGGATATTGATGGCCTTTCTCTTGTGGTCCTTTGTCAAGAAGGCTCTTTGCCTTGCTCTTCTACACTTCTATCTATTCCTCAAACCCAACCCAGAGCTGTTTCTTCAAGTGCTTCACCAATGACCAAGTTCTATAGTTGTAACATGTAACACTAAAAATCTTACGCTGTTGCATTTCTATCATTCGATTTGGTGTACATTTAGTTCTGACGTACATTTGAAATGTGTGTACATTTAGTTCTAATGAGATCGTAAGCCCTTAAGAACACAGAATGTTGGTGAGACAACCAGGCTTTTATATTTATTGGTAACCAAACAACCCCGAACACTTAGCACCTTCTTTGTAGGCACATGAGTATTTATTGACTATTCTGTAGAAAATGCTGAAGGCTTTTTATAATACACTGAAGTGATAGAAATACATCTGTAAAGAATTTACTGTGTTCTAGCCTATAAACAAAAAGTTGCCTATTTACAACGAGCCGGTTTAGAGACATTTGGGGCCATTCAATCCTTCATCTTTAAGTTAAACTAAGTAAATAAAATAATTCAAATTATACCTGTCAAGGTCCAAATTGAATTACCAGTAGAGGCTCTCCTCCTACCAACATTGTTGTAAAAAAAAATGTATTTTAATAATAGATGCAAATTTTAACAAAACCCTTATTTGAGCCATTGGGGGTGTTTTGTCTTTTTACCTTCTAGTGTATCCTTTATGCATCCATAGTCATATGATTGTGATCAGTGTACTTTTCATTTTACATTTTTTTGAATTATATTGTAGACATGTTTCATGATTCAGGCTTCATAATTGCTTTGGTAATTGTGTAATACTTCATTTAAATTGATACACCATAATTTAATCATAATTTGTCAAAATGCCTATAATAGGGAAATAATTATTTCTAATTTTTTCATATGATGGATAATACTGCAGTATGCATCTTTGTGGATATCATTTTTTTCTTCTGAATTATTTCCTTAGGAAAAATTCCCAGAAGTGGAATTACAGGATCAAAGGGTATGAACATTTTTATGGCTCTTAATATGTGCCAGTAGGATTTTTTTTTTTTAAAGGATTGATGAAGCCATTGATTTTGAATGGCCTGAAATGGATTTCAACATTCAATCAGGACTAATAATTCTTTCAGTATAGGCTTAGGTTGGCAAATGCTTTGAAATTTATATTTTATCATGTTCACTAGAGAATTTCATATTCTTTCTGTTTGCAAAGTAATTGTAAGACAGGAGTTATTTCGAATTAACCTTTCTATTAATGTGTAGTGGAAAAAGTCAATGTTGTTGCTTTCCTACCTTAGGCTTTGAATAAATGTACATTACTATTTATTTGTAGGACTTGATTAGAGACCAAGGGTTTCGTGGTGATGGAGGTAAGTAGTGATTTCAGTTTAAAAAACACTCAGGGAAAAATGCAATTGCTTCGCTGCTTGTCTCCTTTATATTTGCTTCTTTCATGAAATACAGACACAGAGAAAAATGTGTAGGGAAAACCAAAATTGTTTTTGTTTTTCTATAGTATTTATCATTTCTCTATAATAAAATTTTAATTCATTCATAACATGAGTGGAAAAGATGAGGCAACATAAAGGGATTCTTAAATATACTATCTGCAATATTAAAATATTGTACCAAGGGGAGATCTTCATTTTACCCACTTTATTAATTTCTAACCTTCTTCAAAGCTGTATTTGCTAAATTTCCTTTGGGGGCCTCCACTGATAATTAAAGATGCAGTTTCAAATCAGATAAAACTTGACTTTGCTAAATCAGCTTTTAGGGGAATCCCTTGAATTGCCTGCCACAGCTTCTCAGTTTGTCAGACATTATCAGCTACTTCCCTTCAACTTTCTAGAAGTGTTTGAAGGGTATATTTTGTAGAATGGAGCCATAATGGAAAAGCCAGTTGCCCTTCTAAGAGTCCAGTTAATAAAATAAGCAAATGAGAAATTTGAGATTTCTTAAAAAAATTTCATCTGGTATTCACTCTAGCACATAAGACACCATTGCTTAAGAAAAACTTTTTGTAAAAATTTGTCCTGTGTAATATTTTCCAAGAGATAGCATTTGAAACTGTCTTGACATTTTATTCCAGGAGGTCCTCTGTACTTACTTACCTTCTTAGCTGTCTTCCATCTGCTAAGGAAGACCAGTAATAACTGCTTATCATGCTGAGAGTTGATTTCTTCACTGTGACCTTCTTTATCTTCAAAATATCTAAATCTAGACTCAAAGATAATTTACATTGAGTAAACCTTGTACAAATCATTTTTTATTTTATTTCTGTATACCTGTGAAGCTACCAAAATAATGATAAGCTACACCACATACTTAGTGTTGATTATAGCACATAGTTACACAAGTTTCTCTTTTTTCTGTTTGTTATTCCATAAACCCACCAATTAATGTTGCCGCCAGTTTGACTTTCGTATGTCTTAATAGTTGTGGCTTCTGATAATTTTGCCCAGTACATCCAGCATTTAAATGTTGCCATCGTGTTAGCATCCCAAAGTTAACTTAGTCTTAAATACAGCCTGCTTAGTACTTGAGTGGCATATCTTGTCCTTTTGGAGTCACGTTTTTTAAAAAAAAATCATTGAGATTTTATAAAAATAAAAAGCATCCAGAATTATTTTGTGAAGCAGGCTTCAGTCATCTTATTTATTCCCATGACTTCTTTCATTTCTTCTGTGTGTCTGTCTTCCTGTGTTTGCCTGCCCCTCTCTTTCTCTTCTAACAGCCCCTTTGAACCAGCTGATGCGCTGTCTTCGGAAATACCAATCCCGGACTCCCAGTCCCCTCCTACATTCTGTCCCCAGTGAAATAGTGTTTGATTTTGAGCCTGGCCCAGTGTTCAGAGGTAGTTGGGCTCTTATTTCTTGTTTTCACCCAAAGCAAACTAAATATAAACTACAGATGCTGTTTGTGCCTCACCCTCACAGTGTGTGTTTGTAAGCGTGAGAGTTTTCAATACTAAATTTCTGCTTGGCCTGGCTGGAATGCTCTGAATGTGCTTCTCACACATACTCACCACCACTCGCTTTGTGTATGCTGTCATAAATTGTTAAAAGCAAGAAAATTCTGAGCTAAGATTTCCATCTTGTGTTATTTTTGTTGTTGTTTTTGTTTTGTTTTTGTTATCGCTTCTTGGTCGTAGTCTTGAACTCAGTGGGCGGGAATGGATGAGGTATTGTGGTGGGGGAGGGCTCTTCATTCTGTATTCCTTCTAATTTAAGACAATAAATGGTGATAACCTTGATAACTGTTAATATTTGTTAACAATTTTGTGGTTTTTAAGAAAAAATGGAAACTCTGTTAGGAGGTTTTATTAGGCTTTTGGCTGTTCTCTTTTTCCCTGAGAGTCTATAATTTCAGCAGTATGTTTTGGTTTTGGAGAGTTTTTTCCCCACCTTTAATTTGGGGTGTATGTATTTGATGTTAAATGTAGGGAGCTGTGAAAGAAAAGTTTTATAAGGTGTTTTGGGTATGTCAGCATACTTGAGAAAATTCAAGGAATCAGACTTTTAATGTGAGGAAAGTTAGCAGTATAGTCTCTTGCTAGTTAGTTTCAGTTACTCATTCTGAATATAGTAATTGTGCTTCAAATTTTTGCTCTGTCAAACCAACTGTTTCTCAGAAAATGCATAGAATGTGATGGAAGCCATATAGTACTAAGTAATATAATTAAACCAAGATAGGCAGTATTGTACTGAGTAGGCCAGAACTGCAAAGTCTAGTGAAGCAGTAACCTCTTTATAATGTTGAAAATTATCAATAGATGATAGAAAATGGATTGTGTTCAAGTTAATAGACATTCTAGATTCCCTTTTCTCTTAGAAAATTACTTAGAAAACTTCTAAGATATGATATCTTGGAAATTCTACATGGTGATAAAATATGAAATGATACTAAATAAAATTTCTATACAGATTTAACATTAAATGTCATTAGTATCCTTTTTTGTCTAAAAAAAAAAGTAGCTCTTTTTTCCCCTGAGAGTAGTAATCATTTTTGTAAACATATTTTCTTGAGGTCTTTTTTATCTGTTTATGGAACTATTACCTGGACATCTCAGTCCTATTCAACTACACTCCAGGCCCACTGCAAGGTATTGCCCTGAACCTTTCTCAGCCAGGTACTGCTATAGGTGAATTTGGGATGTTTGCCACTGAATCAGTATTTGGAAAAGTACCCCTCAGAAAGGTATGCAGCCCTGCCAACTGAGTCCTAGTCCACGGTGTACCCCCTTGAGCTCACATGATTTGTAGAATATCTGTATTTGTAGTTACTTGACTAGGTAACATGCACTTTACTCATAGAGGTAGAGATTTTTCAAAAGGTTTTGAGAAACTTGCCTAGCTTATATCAGCTTTGTTATGCAAATAATAAATAGTCTTTTGTGTAGTAGAATAAGCTTCCAGAATAACCAATGACACTAACCAACAATATCTCTTAAATAGCATTTAGTTTAGGACTGTATTTAAATGTAGTAGCCAATTATGAAAGAGTCAGATATTTTTCAACATGCAGGTCCTGATTAGAAAGTGTTTCCATTTGAGGGTTTCCATCTTTTAAAATATTGTTGGGCAGTTGAGGTAATGTTAGATAATTAAAAGTTTTTATTTTGTTTTATAGACTTTTGAGTTGATTTTTCTCTTCAGTTCTTTTTTTTAAGAAACAAACTTTTAAGTCATTTTTAGTAATTGTTGTTTTAGAGAGTTTGTTTTTCTTCTTTATACCAAAAAGTATGAATCTATCATCAGCTGTATTAAAGGTCATGAAATTGGCTACAAAATTAAACTGTATTAGGTCATCAGAAAAGTCATGACACAGTTTTGAATAGAAAACACCTCATGACTTTCCCGACAACCTAATAGTGCTAATCACCATATGAGGCCCCTTTTTGCCTGTCCTTTCCAAAAGGTCTATACTGGAACGTGAGTTGCATTTTTTAAAATGTCTAAGTCTCCCCCAACCATCTACCCCTGATTAATTAACATGCTTTCTTCTCCTTAATGACTGCATTTTTCTCTCCACTAATTTAGGATCAACCACAGGTTTGTCTGCTACGCCCCCTGCCTCATTACCTGGCTCACTCACTAATGTGAAAGCCTTACAGAAATCTCCAGGACCTCAGAGAGAAAGGAAGTCATCTTCATCCTCCGAAGACAGGAATCGAATGGTATGAATATATACCTTTCATTCTCTAAATTCTTTCTTTTTAAGAGAGTCAAATGTAGTATAACCTTTTAGATATATTATGTTCAAATGTGTCACAGAAATCCCATTAAAAGCTAAAAAGGTTTTGCTAAAGCATATTCCCACAACACTGACTTTTGCTCTCTGACAGAGACTAAAAAGCAGTTTTGGAAGAGTAATAGTTGTATTCTATTTCCAAAATAAAGAGATCGAGAGCAACCTCATACTTAAAAAGCATGATTAAGTATATGTATTCAAAAAACTGGCCCCAAATTTTGCCTACGAAGTTATATTCTACCTATTTAAAAAGTTAACTTTCTGCTTCAAAGTTAAGCTGTATTAAAAAACAAAAATTTTAGTAATTGTGTTAGGTAGGTGGGTCCTTTACGCTACCAGAGTAATTAATTGTATGTTGATATTTTTTTTTGAGAAAATGGATCAGATAAGAGTAATTACTTGTATGTTGATTTTTTTTTGAGAAAAATGGATCAGATAAGATTTGTGTGGAAAGTTCATGACTAGAACAAAATATCTAGATAAATTATTAGTAGTTAACCATAATATGTTAACTTAAATTTGGATTAAGCCAAAACTAGTAACAAATATATAGTACCTGCCTGTTCCTAATAGTTCTTCAAATGATAACAACTGTTTTCATTTTGTTGATTTGGGTAATATATATTTCTCATTCCAATCAGTAATTTCTATTTTTTAATAAAGTATTTATATCCTTATACTGCCTTCAGTCTTAAATTTAAATTTTGTACTTTAAGAGTCATGCTATTAACTATTATCCCCCCAGAATTATTTTTTTAAAAGAGATCTTATTCTCTTCCCAACTTATACCCCTTTCATGGATAGGGTAATGTGCTTAGCTTGAAACATAAGGTTTTGGGTTTTATTTGTTTGGTTGGTTTGGCTTGACTTTTGTACTGTTTTTATCAAGAAAACACTTGGTAGACGAGACTCAAGTGATGATTGGGAGATTCCTGATGGGCAGATTACAGTGGGACAAAGAATTGGATCTGGGTCATTTGGAACAGTCTACAAGGGAAAGTGGCATGGTATGTATGTAATGTGACATTGTCACAAGTCCTAATAATAGAATATGTAGGACCAGCAGATGGTGTAATGGCTATGTCCCTGGACTCCTATGTAGTTGACTGCAGTTTGAGTCCCGAACCCATTAGCTTAAACTCATGCCAGGTGCATGTGCGTACGTGCCCAAGATCCCAAGAGGGAAATGGAAGAGAAGGGATTGCGGTGTGCCCCCCTCACCCCAGGGGGGTGATTGCTTGCTTTCTCTCTCTCTCTCTCTTTCTGTCTTTCTGGTGAGCATACGCACCCTATAACAAAAACCTCTCCAAAAAAATAATAATAATAGAATGTGTTTAACTATTATTTTTGGAGAGTTAAGGGAGATATTCACTGTTTGTATCATTAAGATATCTTGATCAGATGCAAGGGTCTTCCAAAGGTTTCTAATAAAAATTACAGTAAATAAAAACTGAGTACATTGCAACCAAGAATCCTGTTTATAATATATTACAGTAATTTCTGAAGATCTTCTAGGTTAGCTAGTCCCCCACATGATTTCTTTAAAAAGTTTTTCTGAGGACTAGCAGATGGTGTAGCAGTTATGTCACTGGACTCCCATGTAGCTGACCATGGTTCGAGTCCCAGACCCAGTGGCTTGAAAATCACACTGTGCGCACATGTATGTGTGCCCAAGATCCTGGGAGGAGAATGGATTGCAGTGTGGTCATCTCCCCTGGGGAAGTGATTTTTCACTTTCCCTCTCAACTGTGTCTGTCTTTCCCATATGGGTCCAGTAGCATTACCACTATGCTAACACCTGGCCCCCATGTGTGTCTGTTTTTGCTTGGTATATATCTAGGAGAGAATTAAAGGGCCAGAGGATAACTGTATGTCCAGTTTTAGTAGGTACTGTCAACAGTGTTACACAGTGGTTGTACTAATTTACACATATTCACCAGTATATGAGAGTTATGGCTGTTTCACAAAGTTTTTAAAAATTATATATTTATAATTTTCATCATTTTCCTAACCAGAAACATTATAAGTAATCCATAGATATGGGGGGAAAAGAAGTTATTCTGATAAAGTTTTGTAGTTTTCTACTTTAAGCCATTTGATCTGTCATCTGTAGTTTCAACATTCAGGAAGTCTGTCCTATTTAATGTTGTTAAATAATCGGGAAAATAGCATGAGTACTTCAGTAAATTAAATATCCAGGGAAAAAACAAGATTGACTATTTCTTGGATCTGTGTTTTGCAATACTAACATGGGAAGCCAGCATGTGGTTAATGGTGCTGGGCTTCCACATGGCAGACCATGGTTTAAGTCCCGGACCTGGTGACTTGCTTTCTCACTTTCTCTCTCTCTCTCACTCTTGCTCTCATTTTGTCTTGTTCTGTCCCTCTCTGGTCAAATTTAAATAAATAAATAAATAAAGTTAATACAGTTAGTAAAATAATAATTAAAAAAATACTAACATGGAAGTATTATTGATAGTTTAATTTTATTTGTCTTTGTTTGCTCTTCCTTTTATATAAGAGAAAGAAATAGGTATTTTTTTTTTTTTGACTGGCCTGTACTGTGTTGCAACCCTCCTGCCTTTTCCTCCTAATTTGCTAAGGTTACAGGCACATACCACCAAGCTGATATGTTCGGGTTGGCCTAAGAGCTGAACCCTGTCATCCTCATGTAGCTCCCAGCCTTCCAAGGGGTGGCGCTATCTGTACACCACCTTGGCTGGGTTTGTTTAGTTTTTATCCCTAAAATATCCCTCTATTTAATGATGGCTGTCCTCATAGCCTACTGGTTAAGTAAGCTGTATCCCACATGGCTGAGGGCAGTTTGAATCCTGGCCCTGGAGGCTTGAAAAACACATTCAGATATATGTGCATGTGTGCCCAAACTTCTGATAGGATGGAGTAACTGAAGGGATTGTGGTGTGACCAAGCCTCAATGAGGTATGCCTTTTCTTTCTGTTTGTCTCTGGTGAGTGCATATGCTCTCTGGCAATTAAAAATAGATAAGATAGAATTTACTTACCTATTTACTTACTTACTTACTTACTTACTTACTTACTTACTTACTTACTTATTTGAGACAAGATCTTGCTATGGTGCCCAGACTAACCTCAACCTTGCATTCCCTCTGCCTCAACCTTCCAAGTAACTGGGATTACAGATGCACGCCACTACACCCAGCTTAAGAAAAATCAATGCAGTTTAGACAGTTAAGGTATAATTTATTTGTAGGTTAATAATGGTTTGGATTTAGGGCTATAACAGTTGGTGAAACATACAAGAATGTTTGTATTTTTACGTTTAAAAAATTTAACTGACACTTGAAATGACAATTACCTTTTAGGTGATGTGGCAGTGAAAATGTTGAATGTGACAGCACCCACACCTCAGCAGTTACAGGCCTTCAAAAATGAAGTAGGAGTACTCAGGTGAGCTTGTGTGAATTATTGTTTTCCAGAGAGAGAAGTTTCTTTCATTAGCTCCTGACTTCCAGCAATAACCACCATTAGCATTACAGATTTACTCAGAATGGATAAATATGTAGAAACAGAATATATCTGAGGATTTTTTGTGTTTGGCCATATTCTTTAAAGTTGTATGCAGTTTTATATGGTATAGCTGATGAAATACTTAATTCAAGACTGAAATAATGGAAATACAGTATTCTGATGATATAATATTTCTACTTGTATAAATAATACTGTCAAAATTCTAAGCTTATCAGAACACATTTAGAGATGGTATTTAGCCCTGGACCCTGGAACTTGAGGAGCTCCAAAAAACTACAGTAAGTTTGTGGGGGAAACTTTAACTTAGAGGGAAAAGAGGCAGAAGGATATTTAGTCCAGAGAAGGCTGTTATGTTCAAGAGGATGCAAAGCGACTCATTCCAGAAAGAACAGGGATGCCAGTGTTAGACATTGTAGAAAAATTTTGTCTCAATGCAAAATAATTTTCTAGTAATGGAACCACTTAAACAAGGGGATGGACTGGGCTGTATTTTCAGTGTCACTTTCTGGTTACTAAAGATATTTAAGCAACCTCTAGTTGCATTTCAGGTGTATTGAAAAGGGTGTTTCTGGGTAGTGTGGGAGGTTAGACTAGACAGTTCCCGGTCTCTTGAAATTATCTTTCTATTGCTTTTTTTTTCTTTTTCTTTTTTAATGTCTCTTTCTGACAACACCTAACTTACTGACAAGTTGCTTTGGTGCTTTTTTTTTTTTAAGACTTGCTGAAGTTTGTCAGTATTCGCTATTTACTATCACATTTCTTTTTACAGGAAAACACGACATGTAAATATCCTACTTTTCATGGGCTATTCCACAAAGCCACAGCTGGCCATCGTTACCCAGTGGTGTGAAGGCTCCAGCTTATATCACCATCTCCACATCATTGAGACCAAATTTGAGATGATAAAGCTTATAGATATTGCACGGCAGACTGCACAGGGCATGGAGTAAGTTCCATTCTGGTCAAGTCTCTTGTAACTTACTTTCAAAGACCATTGAGGATGTTTTAAAGGCTTTGGTGATACTCTTTTGGACTACATTTTATATCTATATCCAACAACCTAAGGAAACTTAGGAGCTAACAATAGGACACTAAAAAATAAATTAGTCTTTTTGTAGTATAGCCATCAAAACTGTCAACTAGTTAATAACATATATATAACTACAAATTTAGGGTTAGCATTCAGTGATTTAACTAAACCATAGAGGTTCAGAAAACAAAAGTAGTCCTGTCAAAAAAAAAAAAGCTAAAACAATAAGACTAAAAAATTATTAATTGGTAAAGTATACAAATATTAATTACTCTTTTCAAACCATTTACTCCAAGTGTTCATATTTTCTTTTTTAAAATGTCATTTCATAAAATGAAAATCTACATTCTGATCCTTTTTGAGAATTCTATTTTATGTTCATACCTAAAATAAGGAGCTTACATGCAAATGAATAAGTAAATCAGTAGGTAAAATTGAATAAAATTTAAAAGCGATAGTTGAAAGATGTAAGCTTAGTAAAATATAAATTTGAAAGCTCCATAAGTAATTTAAAAATATGTATTTTAATTAATGTTTTGTATTATACAAATTTCATATGTATAGATTATTTAGTATTTATAGTGTTATGAAGTAGATAATTTTATTTTGTTTTTGTTGATAAGGAAACTGAGCTTTTAAGTGATTTGCCTGAGGCCATACATGTAATAAATGGTAACAAAGGTGTTAAATTCCAGGTTTCTGACTTCTAATCCTGTATTCTTTCTCCATAACCACTGTTCTGCTTTTAATTTATAAAATAAGAATAAAAGAATAAAAGGGTGTATGTATACTGAAGCCTACAACTCTAACTCAAGGGCATTTGTAGAAAGTAGATCAACACAAAACATGAAGCAATTAGGTCATCAGAAAGTCATGACACATTTTTGCATAGAAAAAACACGTCACAGGACCAGCAGATAGCATAATGGTTACATCACTGGACTCCCTTGTAGTTAACCACAGTTCAAGTCCCAGACCTGGCTGCTTAAAACTCACATTGGGCATTTGTGTGTGCATGCCCAAAATCCTGAGAGGACACCAGAAGAGAAGGGACTGTGGCACAATCATCTCTTCTGGGGGTTTATTTCTGCTTTCTATCTCTGGCAAGGGCATATACCCTAGAGCAAAAATTTCTCTTTAAAAAAACACACATCAAAACTTTTCTGACAAACTAATAGATCTCTTAAGTCTTCTCACCACTTTCTCTTTCTCAAATCTAGGCAATATCTTTGTAATTTAGATTGTTTATAGGCCTATGTTCAGTCAAAATGAGTATTGCAGCAAATTAACTATCCATTAATATTCCTTCTTAACCACTGGACTTAAAACAACCTCATTCTTTCAGATAAGTTTGAATCTTCACATCTAAAAGATTGTATTAAGATTTTGTAAGGAATAAACAGTGACAAAACCAGTCAACATTCCAAAAAATGGGAAGCTGCTTCTCTTCCTATCCCAGAGGTGTCTGTTGTTTCTTTGGCAGGACAAGTACGCTCTGTCAGTACAGCCCTGACACTCATTATTTTCTCTTTGGGATACCCATGCCACAAATATCATGTCTCTGTTCAAATGTCCCCTTTTAACAGACACCCTCTCTGATCACCTTGTACAACATCCATACTCCACCCTGTTATTCTGTCCTTGTTTTTCTTTATAACATTCAACTCCATCTGACTTGCTTATTTATTGTCTGTCCCCTGCTAGGGTGCAGTCTGTATGAGAGCAGGGGTTTTGTTTTCATCATTGTTCTATGCCTGATGTTCTATACCTCTATACCTCTCCGGCCTATGAGAGGTACTCAGAACCTATCTGTTACATGAAAGAATAAATGCTCTAAACTGCCTATTATTGTATATTTACCTTTCAAAAGAGAGAAAAGCCAAATTCTCATGGAAAAGAATTAAGGAAGCTGGATCCCACATGGCTGACTTCGTGGTTTGAATCTAAACCCCGTGGATGGAGAAACACACTGGGCATAGTGTGTGCGTGCCCACCCAAAATTCTGTGTGTGAGGAGAATGGAGGAGAAGGGATTGCAGTGTGACCATCTCGCTTTCTGGCAAGCACATGCACTCTATAGCAAAACTAAGAAAAAGTTTACAGAAACACTGATGGGACAATGAAGTACCCATATTGGTTAAGACAAGTGGCAATAGAGAAGAACACTATCAAATTGGAATAGCTCTATACTCTGGGAAAGTCAATGAACAGGCAATAATTTCCCATCACTTTATCATTTGGAATTATCAATATAAATTTTAGTATATTGGGCGCCAGCAGGTGGCATGGTGGTTAAGGCAACTGGACTCCCATATGGCTGACTGCAGTTCAGGTCCTAGACCTGGCAGCTTGCTTTCTTACTTTCCTCTCTCTGTGTTTCTTTCTGGTCAACTTTAAAATTATAAAATAAAATAATGACAATGAATAAAATTAAATTAAAAGTGTTAGCGCATTTACTCTGAAACACTTTGCTTATATTATTAAACAGCTCTCACTATGTAATGAATTTAACTGGCTATAAATGTAGATTAGTCTGTCAGATTTATTCTAAATTTTACTAGCTGAAAAAATACCAATTTATAAGTTCTAAGCCCCCTAGCAGAGTGTGCTTTTTATTACCAATTTAAAGTTAAGCAAAGAAGATAGAGTTCTATCTCCTTTTTGTTTCCTCTTATGAAATGAGAACATGAACTGACTAAAAGTACGAACATATCTTTTGTTTTGGAAGGTTTTGGCTGATTACTGAAATGGCAGTGTGAGTTTCAGGTTGAGGTGATAGATTGTTGTTCACTCCTGAAACTCTATTAAAATTATAACAAAGGAGTTGTGTTTTTTTAAAGCATGACGTATATGGATGGGATACCGAGAGGAAGGAGGCAATAACAACAGACATTTTAAAAGCTGGAAAGCATGTAAGAAGGTGATAATAGACTTAGTGGGCCCAGAAAAGCTAACTCGTTGGCAGTGGAGAAATGAAAAACAACCTGATTTATACCATGGAATTCATGAAAGTCTCAGGAATTGGCAGTATCATCTACCTCCATAAGGGACTAAAATGAAAAGCTGTGCTTCTCTAAATCCTTTCTCTACTCTGTGGTAAGACTGAGTGACTATCCTCTCTCTGTCCTGGCAATGAACTGGAAGTTCTCTAGAAAGGGCAAAACAAATACTTTTGGACTGGAGGATCTTCTGCTATGTCTAGGACTGGGGTGCCTTATCCAAAGCCAAGGGGATTTGGTGACTGTATGTTTATGAATGATGAAAGGAGATCTCCCCTCTTTTATTTGTTTCCCAGAGTGCTAGTAGCCAAACCGTATTCTTCCTGCAAGAGATTGGAAATGTCTTCTGATGAGTCTACCAGCCCAAGAGGAAAGATCCAAAGAGAGTGACATCAAGGATCCCACCCAAGTCACTGTACATTTCAGAAACAACAAGCCCATTTATATGTGCCAGCCTCCAGACAGTTTGTTAGTTCCTCACATAGTCTGAATAAGATGGATTATCTCTGGATAACCAGCTGTTTGAGGGAAAGGCTCTGAAGTAAATGAGAAAGACCAAAATTCATGGGGCATAACAGAACCTGGGAGAAACAGACACAGTGCAAGATCACCCCACCAGATAAAAGATTGCTTCCTATCCAAAGGCAGACAAATGCTTTCCAAGAAACAGACATAGAACAACAAAAAAGATGTTATTTATAGTACTCTAAAAATTACATCTTGTAGTTATTTAAACTTTAAATGTTAATCTAAAATATGGAAAGAGCTACATAGTTTCTCAGAATTGTTTTAGTGCTCCTCAGCAAAAAAAGTTTTAAAACTATTATGCAAAATGCTAATAATTTAATACTAATTTTATTCGTATTATGTAACATAGTTCAGAATGACACCTGAATAATTTTTTTTTTTTTTTACAAATCAAGTTGTATTAATGTATGTAATTAATTGGAACACATAACCAGATGTGCAGGGAAGCTGGATGACATCCGGCAAACTGCAGTTTGAATCCAAGTCCTGTTGGCTTAAAAAAAATGTGCATGCATGCCCAAAATCCTGTTGGAGGAAAGGGATTGTGGCATGACCACACCCCTCTGGGAGGTCTTTTTCTCTCTCCATACTTCCCTATCTAGTAAGCATGCATACCTTCTGGTAGCTATAAACAAAGAAAAACAAACAAAAACCTAAAATCCATCTACCTGTCAATCAAGTTTGTTGCAGAGTAAATGAGATAGTGTGTGTAAGATACACAGAACTATGGTAATAAGTGCATATAACTGCTAAGCACGTAAATAATTACTTTTTTTTTTTTTAATAGAACATAGCTGATTTAAACCTGGACCTGGTGACTTGAAAAACAAATCAGGCACGTTTACGTGTATGCCAAAAATCCCAGGAGGAGAGAGGATTGTGGCATGGCAATCCCCCCGTGGGTGCTCTCTCACTTTCTCTGTTTCTATTTCTGTCTTTCCTCCGCCACCACCAATGAGCAGACATGCCCTATAGCAAATTAAAAAAAAAAAAAAAAACGAAAAGAAAGAGGAACCAGCAGATGGCGTAATGGTTACATTGCAGTACTCTGACATTGCGGACTATGATTCATGTCCCAAACTCGGTGGCTTGAAACTCACACCAGGCATGCGGGCATGCATGCCCAAAATCCCAAGAGGAGAATGGAGGAGAAGGGATTATGGTGTGACCATCTCCCCGGGGGGAGGGGGGGCGGGTAATTTCTTGCTTTCTGTCTCTTTCTGTCTCTGTCTCTCTGGCAAGCACACACCCTATAGCAAAAATCTCTCAAAAAAAAAAGTTGAATCATTAAGACTTTCAAATATATCATCTTTATTGGATTACAGAATATTAACATATATTGTGGATGGATAACATTTTCCCATATGATTCTGTTTCTCTCTCTTTTCTT